GCTGCCCGGCTCGCTGCTCCTGCCATGGCACCAGGAGAGGGCATGCCCTTCTCCCAGGGGAGCTGCAGGGCTCAGAGGGGCAGTGCCACGGCCTTCCTGCTGCTGCTGCTGCACCAAAACCAGCTGCAAGTGCTCACTGGCACCAGCTAGGCACCCACTGGCACTCCTGATGTGCCCGCTGGCACTCCTGAGATGTTCACTGGCACTCCTGAAGTGTCCACTGGCATTTCTGAGGTGCCCACTGCACTCCTGAGGTGCCCACTGGAACTCCTGAGATGTTTATTGGCATTCCTGAAGTGCCCGCTGGCACTCCTGAGATGTTCACTGGCACTCCTGAAGTGTCCACTGGCATTTCTGAGGTGCCCACTGCACTCCTGAGGTGCCCACTGGAACTCCTGAGATTTTCCTGGCATTCCTGATGTGCCCACTGGCACCCCTGAGATGTTCCTGGCATTCCTGAAGTGCCCGCTGGCACTCCTGAGATGTTCCTGGCATTCTTGACGTGCCCACTGGAATTCCTGAGATGTTCCTGGCAATCCTGAGGTGCCCACTGGCACTCCTGAGATGTTCACTGGCACTCCTGAGGTGCCCACTGGAACTTCTGAGATGTTTATTGGCATTCCTGATGTGCCCACTGGCACTCCTGAGGTGCCCACTGGCACTCCTGAGGTGCCCACTGGCACTCCTGCTCCAGGGTGCTCCATCCCCAGTGCCAGCCTGGCTTTGGGCACTGCCAGGGATGCAGGGGCAGCCCCAGCTGCGTGGGCACCCTGTGCCAGGGCACACTTCCCCCCCAGCCCTCGCCCCACGCCCGCTCACCTTGTGTGAAGGCCTCGTGCACGTCGTCCCCGAGCCCTGCCAGCGTGTCCTGGGCACCGTGCGTGGGCGTGGAGCCCGCCGAGGCCGAGCGGGTGGGCACGGGCACGGCGGGAGGGCACCCGTGGGTGGGCGAGGGCTGGGCAGAGCCCGCGGCCTGCGCCTGCAGACACAGAGAGGGCATGGCACCGGGCAGGGCACGGCTGGCACCGGGCACTGTGCAGAAACACACACACACACACACACAGACAGACAGAGACACAGCGGGCACCGCGCAGGGCACCAATCCCGGGCACACACACACACACACTGTGCCCCGGGCAGGGCACCGGGCAGGGCACCGGGCAGGGCACCGGGCAGGGCACGGCTGGCACCGGGCACTGTGCAGAAACACACACACAGACACACACACAGGGCACCGTGCAGGGCACCAATCCTGGGCACACACACACACACACACACACACTGGGCACCGTGCAGGGCACCAGCCCTGGGGGCACACACACACACACACACAGAGTGGGCACCGTGCAGGGCAGCAATCCTGGGTGGGGTGCGGTGCCCGGGCAGGGGCTCCTGTGGGAGCTGGTCCTGGGCACACACACACAGACACACACAGACACACAGACACACACACACACACGGCACCCTGCAGGGCACCAGCCCTGGGTGGGTGCGGTGCCCGGGCAGGGGCTGCTGTGGGAGCTGTTGGCACCATGGGTGTCAGACTTCATTGAGTTATTTTTAAATTTTGTTGTATTTTTTGTCTATTTTTATCCATTTTGAGATGTTTTTTATAAAATCACATGCTTTGTATGTTCTATGCTAACATTTATATATTTATATATTGCTTGTGTGGATATTTATATATGTTTATATATTTATTTATATGTTTCTCTATTGTATATTCTTATATTTATATAATATATTCTAGAAACTAATATTATATAAATATATAAAATAACTATAGAATATAAAATATATGATATATGATATATATACAATAAAATATGTATTTATATATAATAAAACTATATAACATAAAATATATTCTATTTTTATTTATATATAAATATATATTCATATATTACACATATATAAATGTAATATGTATATATTAATATATTGCATATATAATCCATATAGTATTTATAAAGTAGAAATATATATGACATATTTCATATAAAATATATTTTATACAGTATATATTAGATATATTTTAGATGAAATACATTCTATAAATATATAAAATATATTTATATATTTGTTATATTATACATATTTATATGTAATTTTATATATTCATATATGTGTAATATATAATTTTTTATAATACATATCTATTTATATATTACATATGTAGATATAAAATGTATTACCTATTTAGAGGTAATACATAAATTAAAATTTATGTATTTTAATATATTTTTTTAATTTCCACACTTGTATATTTAGATCTATTCCTACAATTTGATTTATTGTGGCAAGAGTGAGTCTTTATATCTCATGTCACATTTTGTTCCAGCCCAGCCCTCCCCATTGCTGCGGTGCCACCCAGCAGCCTCCAGAGCAGCTCTGTGACCGTGCTGTGCCAGCAGGGCTGGCAGTGTCCCCTCAGGGTGAGGAACAGGGCTGTGCCAGCTGCTGCCCACGGCCTCGAGTCCCAAAACCCCAAAAAACCCCCAAAAAAACCCAAAAACCCCAAAAAACCCCAAAAACCCCCCAAAAACCCCCAAACTGGGGCTCCTGCGGGGCTGGGGGAGCTCTGCCACGCTGGCTTGGCCAGGCTCCCCCGGCTGCCCCGGGCCCTGTGGGCCAGCCTGGGCTGGCACGGGTGCCAGGCAGGGCACGGACAGGGTGCAGGGCAGGGTGGCACGGGTCATTGCCTCTGTGACCCCAAAAATGCAGCTCTGGGTGGTACCGGTGCTGCCCGCTGGGCCTGGCTGGGCTTTGGGGACCTTTGTAAGGGAATCCGGGAGGGGTTTGGGTGGGGAGGGGGCTTCAACCCCCTCCAGTGGCACCCCTGCCCTGGCAGGGACATTTCCACTGCCCCAGGGTGTCCCAGTGTCCAGCCTGGCCTTGGCACTGCCAGGGATCCAGGGGCAGCCCCAGCTGTGCCAGCCCTGCCCACCCTGCCAGGGAACAATTCCTCATTCCCAATCTCCCACCCAGCCCTGCCCTCTGGCACTGGGAGCCATTCCCTGTGCCCTGTCCCTCCAGCCTTGTCCCCAGTCCCTCTGCAGCTCTCCTGGAGCCCCTCCAGGCCCTGCCAGGGGCTCTGAGCTCTGCCTGGATCCTTCTCCTCTCCAGGTGAGCCCCCCCAGCTCTGCCAGCCTGTCCTGCTGTCCCCTGTCCCTGCTGTCACATTTCAGCCACCTTTAAAGGCCCCAGTGTTGATCCTCAGCCCCTGGGGACAGAGGGACGGGAGCTGCCCGGCCCCGGTGCCACTCCCGGGCCTGGCCTTTGGTTTGGGCCTTGCTGTGAGCCTGGGTTTGCTCCTGGTGACTGCGGCTGGTACCGGGACAACACGGCCTGGGAGCGGGGACACTGCGGTGACACTGTGGGAGCTGTGCACAGTGACACTGCCGGGACCTGTGCACGGTGACACTGCCAGGGCCTGTGCACGGTGACACTGCTGGGAGCTGTGCACAGTGACACTGCCAGGACCTGTGCACAGTGACACTGCCAGGACCTGTGCACAGTGACACTGCTGGGATCTGTGCACAGTGACACTGCTGGGACCTGTGCACGGCGACACTGCTGGGACTGTGGGCACGGTGACACTGCAAGCACCCTGTGCAATGGTGACACCCCAGGACCCCAGACACAGTGACACTGCTAACACCCCAAACATGGTGACACTGCCAGCATCCCATACAGGGTGACACTGCCAGCACCCCAGACACAGTGACACTGCCAGCACCCCAGACAGGGTGACACTTCTAACACCCCAGACACAGTGACACTGCCAGCACCCCAGACAGGGTGACACTGCCAACACCCCAGACATGGTGACACTTCTAACACCCCAGACATGGTGACACTGCCAGCACCCCAAACAAGGTGACACTGCCAGCCCCCCAAACAAGGTGCCACTGCTGGCACCCCAGACATGGTGACACTGCCAGCACCCTGTCCTGTGCACAGTGACACTGCCAGGACCTGTGCACGGTGACACTGCTGGGGCTGTGGGCACGGTGGCACTGCGAGCACCCTGTGCAATGGTGACACCCCAGGACCCCAGACACAGTGACACTGCTAACACCCCAAACATGGTGACACTGCCAGCATCCCATACAGGGTGACACTGCCAGCACCCCAGACACAGTGACACTGCCAGCACCCCAGACAGGGTGACACTGCCAACACCCCAGACATGGTGACACTTCTAACACCTGAGCCATCCCATACAGGGTGACACTGCCAGCACCCCAGACACAGTGACACCCAGACACAGTGACACTTCTAACACCCCATACAGGGTGACACTGCCAGCCCCCCAAACAAGGTGCCACTGCTGGCACCCCAGACATGGTGACACTGCCAGCACCCTGTGCAATGGTGACACCCCAGCACCCAGACACAGTGACACTTCTAACACCCCATACAGGGTGACACTGCCAGCCCCCCAAACAAGGTGCCGCTGCTGGCACCCCAGACACAGTGCCACCCCGGTGTCCCCAGTGCCACCGCAGCCTGTCCCCGTGTCCCCGCAGCCCCAGGCCGGTGTTTGTGTGAACAGGAAAACCCGGCCATGTGGAAAATTGTCATTTTGGGACCGTGCCAGTGACGGTGAGTCACGTGTGCCACGGCCCCGAGGGGACACGGCTGCAGGGGAGCAGCGCTTGGCCGAGGAAATGTCCCCAAACCTGCACGTGCCACCCAGCAGCAGCAGTGTCCCCTCCCTGCACCCAACCCCAAATCAGACCTGAGACCCCAAACACACCCAAACACCAAATCAGACCTGAGACCCCAAAATACAGCAAAACACCCAATCAGACCTGAAAATCCAAAATGCACCCAACACCAAATCAGACCTAAAACCCAAAATGCACCAAAACACCAAATCAGACTTGCAATACCCACCCCAAAATGCACCAAATCACCACATCCTACCTGCAATACTCAGCCCAAAATGCACCTAAACACCAAATCAGACCTGAAACCCCAAAACACCAAATCTGACCTGAAACCCCAAAACACCAAATCTGACCTGAGACCCCAAACCACAGCCAAACACCAAATCAGACCTGAAACCTCAGAATGCACCAAGACACCAAATCAGACCTGAACCCCAAACCACAGCCAAACACCAAATCAGACCCGAGGCCCCAGAGACGGGCCAGGCCCAGAGCTGTCATGCCCAGGAGGGGCTGGGAATGTTTTCTGGTTTGGGTGTTTTCTGCTTTGGGGCTCGGGTCCCGTCCTGAGGGAGCTCAGGGGGTGAGGAAAGGAAACGCCACGGAGCTCTTGTTGTTTGGAGTCACCGAGGTGGAGAAGAGCTGCAAGAGCAGCAGGGCCAGCTGTGCCTGACCCCTGTCCCCAGCCCAGGGCACGAGTGCCACGCTCCCTGCACTTTGCCCCGGGCACTCCAAACCTCCCTGGGCAGCCTGAGGATGTGCCAGGAGGAGAGGGGGCAGCTCAGCCCCCGCAGTCAGATCTCAGGGCTCCCTCTGTGCCAAACACATCTGCCTGAACTGCAGGGGACAGATTTTACAGCGTGTGACAAACCCAGCCCAGCTCACCTGTCCCAGCTCACCTGTCCCCAGCTCACCTGTCCCCAGCTCACCTGTCCCCACCTCGGCCACAGGGGGCTGTGCATTGAATCCCAGCGTGGTTGGGGTGGGAAGGGGGCTTAAATCCCCCCCAGTGCCACCCCTGCCACGGCAGGGACACTGCCACTGCCCCAGGCTGTCCCAGTGTCCAGCCTTGGGCACTGCCAGGGATCCAGGGGCAGCCCCAGCTGCTCTGGGCACCCTGTGCCAGCCCTGCCCACCCTGCCAGGGCACAATTCCTCATTGCCAATCTCCCACCCAGCCCTGCCCTTGTCCCCTGTCCCACCCCTCCAGCTGTGCTCACTCCTTGGGCCAAGGCTGTGACCCCCAGGCTGGCAGTGCCCACTCCGGCCACACCCAGGCGAGAGGAAATCCTTTTGTCACCACG